AAATTAAGTACTGTATGCAGTATTTTACATTTTGGCTGTCCAAGACCTTTTTTGGCCTTGTCCATGTTCCAAATATCCAAGTATCCAAGATTGTCCAAAGCTTATACAGGCTTTAATAATTATTAAATTTGTCTAAAAATATATGATTATATATTTTTTTGAGGTACTAAACACATTCCATTTAAAATTAAAATAGATTGTCTTAATAAAATTTTAAGTAATTTTACTTTATTTAATTGTTCAAGATTGTCCAAAATTGTCCAAACTACTGTCCAAAGCTGTACCATGACAACACTGACTGTATGTATATCTAAAAATACCTTTTATGATCTTATTTATATACAGTATATTGCAGCAAGATTATAAATTTAGAAACGATAAAACTTCTAACCTATTTAATATTAATTTTTAATATTTAACTTTATTATCATTGCTTTTATAAAATTTACTTGAGATAGTCATTCTCAAAAACAAAATAAATGAAATAGTGCTATCAAATGACATAGGCATAGTCAAGTGTGAAAATGGTCACTTAAATGGTATTTAAAATCTATTCAAATAAAAAATCTGAAGTTTACCTAAATTACTTTATGAATTAAAATAGAGTAATAGAGAACATTAAGAGATAAATTCTTGATATTTTAATATTTGTAATATTTAGCTATTACTGTATCAAAATTTATACAAAACACAATAAGTTATACAAAAATTTTACTAATAACTTTGATTTATACAGTATATTGCGTGCTCTAAGGTGCTCTACTAATATGATTTGTATTATTATTAATTTTTTAAAGATGTCTGCCAAACTAATTCACTTAATTATAAAAAATCCCTAATTCACAAAGAATATAATTTGACTTTTTTATAGCAAGAACCTATAATAAAGATTTTCTGGTCCTGTTAAAACAATATAATACTGTCCTATAAAAGAAAAAGATTATAAGCTTTGAAAGTCAGGATGCATCTGCCTATACCTGAAATAGAAGGACAACTAAAATTTTGGGAAGGAGCGAAAAGAAAGTACCAAGTGGCACAGGTCAACCTACTGGAACCTGAATCAAAGCTGAAACTAAAAATACTGCCAGCAGTTAGAGTACTGAATAACAGGCACCAAAGAAATAAACCAAGTATAGAGTAGGGTGATACAAAATATAAAAATTAGAATGATTCAGCTAGTTGGGTCATGTGAGTTAGGGAACTGCAGACTCAATAACGGAGTCTTATACTATGGGCCAGGAACCCAGGATGTCAAATACGTAATATACTTAACAAAAACATGGGTACCTACTAGCATAATAATAAATTAAGAGGTCATACGCTGTTTATTGATCTCTGTTGATAAATGACTCTGGCCTTAAAAGAAAAATCTGAGTGTCTAAAGACTTTCTGAATAGCAGAAGAAGAAAAAAAAAGCTATGGTTTTCTAAAAAAACATAGTAATTTTTTATAGCAAACTTTTTTTTTGGCCAGACTTGAGAGTTCCATATAGAAAGAGTTGATAGTAAAAATTGCCTC